ACATACGCTTCAACCCCAGTGCAGGCGAATATTATGCGAACAGCATTATTCAATCAGTATTGGATGCTGGGGTGGGCAGCTATTTATGGAACCTGTTGCGAATACTGACGGCGAATAATTTGCACTAGAAGACTGCATTCAACTACGAAGGCTACGTAAACAAAGCCAATGAATGAAATTCAAGGGCTTTCTTACTTTTCTTCCCACCACGAATATTTCTGTGAAAACGTTTGAACAAATACCTTACTGAGAACCTCGAAAATTGCCCCAAAGTTTTTTGAAGTTGTCCAGAGCGGTCTGCCGAAATTAATTAAAGGACGGACTGGGAGATGGTTAACAAAGCGACACGCCAGTGTCTGTCCAAAACGGCCAACCATGTGTTCACATAAAAATCGAAAAACGGTGTAGCAGCTCACCTTTGGGCTTGTGCAGCCACCATTGAATGCAGCTGCGCATTGCGCTCCATGAGGTCGCGCTGGCCACGCGTAAGCTCCAAAAGCATGCTGCGCATCACGCTAGTTTGGGCTACCAGTCGAGTCACCTTAGCTTCGAGCAGATGTGGGTCATGAAGGGGAGAAGTAACGCGGTAACGCGCGTCATCATAACTACGGTCACCGACTGCGGAACTCGTGTCCACCGAGGTGTGTTCTGGACAGCTCGCGGAACCATTCTCAAAATCGTCACCCTTGATGGGAAAAATCAAAAATGGGACATTCATTATCGAAGAATACAACTGTGAAACGCTAAACTGTATGGCTTGTTTTTCGTCTTTTTGGACACATGGACCGGAAGGAAACGCAAAAATGTCTACCCTGCCTGGAAATAGTCTTTAACCGTCATGACGTAGATGACGCTTGAAGTCACTGCCTACTAAGGCTGTAATGGTTCATCTGCCATAGGGATTCAATGGAGCTCCTTCCTGTTGTCCGTTTCCAAAGCGGACCGACAGGGGGTGCGGATGAGCCAGAAATTCTTTTGAACTTACAGGGCTCATACCCCGTAAAATAAAGCATACCGCCTGCGCCGCGCTTATTTCTGCGCGTGGGTCCAGTGTCTCACCACGGCCAAAACAGCCGCTACGTCGGCCCTTCCTGCTGTCTGGGTTTACTTACTTCGGACATTTTCTGAAAGCCCTACTGCCGGGAAGGCGAAGTGAAATTGCTCTTAGAACTTCTGACTGTTTTGAACTCATTCCAGTATAATTGTACTCACTTTGT